AGTACTTTTCGGTACTACCGGTACCGTACCTGTAAGATTTTAGACACTAAATAAACAGTAGAGTTCGAAACCAGACCAGATTTTCTGGATCAGGTAGTCTGGAATCCTGGTATTTTAATAAAAATTGGATTTTCTGGTTTCGAATTCAATGCATTTTGTAGCTTGTGATTAATTTTAATTTAGCCAAAGTGTCGTCCTTGATAGTATTTTATTCTAAAAAATTGAGAGGTAATTTTAGATTTATTTGCTTAAATTTCCTTCACTTTTAATTTTAATTAAAATATTTTTAAAATATTAAGTATTGTAGTTTAGTCCCTACTAGTCTAGGCTCTAAAGACGTCTTATCAATTAAAATTATAGCTTTGATTAAATTTAGTTCTGAATAAGTTGATTAAAGCTTCGTTTACTCTCCTTAAACAGTTCTGATTTTGTTTGAAAGCTTTGTGATGCCTCCGGCTTTTGAAGCCTTTAGATGATAAATTTAAGTATATCTATAGAGTTAGCAATTGAAACACAAGAATTAATAAAATAAAAGTCGAAAATTCCATTAAAGTAACTTTAAATTTTAAAGTGTTTTTATGGAGTGCTTACAACATATAATGTCCTTTTTATTGACATTTAGGGAATTTTTTAGCCATCAGAAACGACATTAAGACTTCACCCAGGTTCAAATCGAAAAAAGTTTACGGCAATTTCTGTCTAGCAGGATTAGAAATATACATACTTACATAGCTCTCTTTAGGGCACCTGTGTTGTTGGCCGCTCTCTCATGTGTAAATAACTGACAAGTTGTCAGCTGCGTTGAGAGAAACTCCTCTTTGTTTGCTTTATTCTCAAGGTATCACGACTTTTGCGCCGAGAACATTTGCGCCGCGACTTATGCGCCGCGACTTTTGCGCCGGGCGACTTTTGCGCCGCGACTCTTGCGCCGCAACTTTTGCGCCGGGCGACTTATGCGCCGCGACATTTGCGCCGTCATTGTTTAAAAAATCCGGATCCGAAAAATGCCGGATATCCGAAATTTTCAGTTCGGATATCGGATCCGGATATCCGAAGATTTCCAACTATCCGACAACCCTACTAAAGTGAGGTCCGGCTGTAGTTATTCATATATTTTTAATGATAGTGGCGGCGCAAAAGTCGCCCGGCGCAAAAGTCGCGGCGCAAAGGTTCCCCGGCGCAAAAGTCACTCGGCGCATAAGTCGCGGCGCAAAAGTCGCGGCGCATAAGTCGCGGCGCAAATGTTCTCGGCGCAAAAGTCACGGAACCATTCTCAAAATGGCCATAAATTGCACTTTTAAAAACGAGAGAAGAGACTGGGCAAAAGCACAGGGGCCACGAAGAGAGACATATGTATAATCTTGTGGGACAAAAATTTTTTCGCATACTACATAGTCGAAAATAACCAGAGTCTTGAGTTGACGTTTCTAATGGTAACACAAATTATCTCATTAAACCAAAAATATTATGTAAATATTACAGTGGCAGTCATTTATATTTAATGAAAAATATTTTTGTTTTTATAAATTGTTTTTTTATTTTTTGAATAGATTTCCGTCACTGTATACAGAATAAAAATATACAGAATAAAATATAGCAGAATAAAAAATAAATTCCTTATTTCGAGAATCGGATTTACGAACCAAAAAATGTCGGGAATTCCCGATTTTCGGAAATTTTGCTATTTTTGGAGGATCGATGTTAGCATGAGGCCAAGAAGGATACTACATATTATCTAAACAGCATCCTTGCTGGAAAAAATTTAATTTAAAAGAAATTTAATTTTTTTTATTAAATTATTTTTTCTATAAAGCATAATTCTGACAAGGTGTACAAACATTGAGTTATTTTATTTTACTGATTTAATATCATTTTTATTTCAATCAATTTTATTTCACATTAATATATTTTACCGAGAAATGGGTGAAATAAAATATATACATAGTTCCTTTATTCCAAAACCCCCAACTCTTACCTCAACCTAATATTTCTATATACCGTAAATATCTTAATAGAAGCTCCCTCTTTTTCCAATAAGCACTCTCTTAAAGAGAGAAAGATCTTCACAGTCTTTAAATAAATGACCTAAATTAAATTAGGATATCTATTAAGTAAAGCAGCTGGGCTATAGCTATTTCTCTCCTTCAGCTAGTGCAAAAGGTTAATCGGCGGCTGGGAGCGAACCAACATCTTCATAGACCGGACTGATGTGTTAGCCATTACACCACGCCGCCTACAGCACAGCCGTAGGGATTTACAATTAGGACATTTAGGATAAATTAAGATTTAAGCAGGAGTTAGAAAATTGGGATGGATCAAAGCTGGTACCTTTCCATTTCTATATAGGGGCTGTTGGCTCTTATAAAATCATAGGTTACACTAACCAACCCGAAAATTTCCATTTCTTCGTTTTGTTTCGATTACGAGCCAACAACCCCAGTAGGTGAAAAAGCTCTCTTTTTCTTTTCACAATTCCTGTCTAGGCAAGCGTTAAATGCTAGTCAACTGTACTTTAGTAAAATAAATTTTACATTTAATTCAATTTGAAAAGGAACTTAATTTTAATTTATTATTATAATAAATTCAATTTTAATATGTCATCAACAAATTCTAACAAAGAAAGATTCAATGAAGTAATGGGAAATGACGACCATAAAAATTTTGAAGATTTAAGTGATATTGAAGAAAATAACGAAGGCATTAAAGTTGAGAATCAACAAGTTGAGGAGAATAAAAATACAAGTTTAAAAATGCGAAAACTGTCAACAAAGACTAAACGCAACCTCAACCCAATTCCAACAGAATGTAGTATCTGTGAACGTATGGCTAGTGGATATATCTTTTATGGAGTAATTTGTTGTGATGGTAGATTTAATTGTTTGAAGTCTGAATAAATATAGATATTGTTTTCAGGCTGTAAACACTTCTTTCATCGCTGTATTACTTCAAAAAACACATATAAATGTGAAAAAGATGGGAACTGTAATTTGTCTAACAGTAATATTTTTCAATTAAATTAAGCTTATAAGGGATGGGTCGGGTTCCCGATACCCGAAGCCTGGATAAGTCGAGGTATATAGAATCAAGAATTTCCGTATATCTGGATTTGTTTATTTAAAAAATATTATAAAATATCACTAATTAAAGATATAAATGTCTGCAAAAGTTGCCGTTTCGATAAATGCATATTAAAAGGAATGTATATTCAAACAACAAAAGGGAGGCAACCCGAAAAGGTTTTGGAAATACAAACAATGATTCAAAATAAACGTAGAGAACTTGCTAGTAAAGGAAAATATGTTCAAGGAAAATCTAATAATTGTGCTGTTGAAGAAGTGAATTTTGTTGATTTGGTAGATTATTATTTTGTAGGGGGTTCAGGTTCCCCTTATTTTAAAATATGTATATATACGTGGGACGTGGTACGCGGACATATCGGGATATTTCAATGTACGAACAGTTACCCTACTGATTTTGGGACCTACGGCCAGTGGGTCTTGGATAGTATTTTGTCCTATTGATGACTAGAGTTTTTATGTTTTAGAACAAACGAAAACACGCAAGAAATTATTTTTGTCACCCCAATACCGATATGTCCGACCCGATACATATGTCCGCACAGCGTTCCTTTTAATTAGAAATTTAAAATATATAAGCCTAATTCTGGGCAATCTTTTTTAGTTACGTACATATAGTATTTCGATATAGAATTTCGATTTTGCTGATTTTTATAATATTCTAGCAAACGTCATTAATCGCTGCTCAAAACAAACAATTTCTTGATTACCTTCTAACTGTTGAGCAAAATGCTTGTCGTACTAAAAATTCAGGGATTGATGAATGCCATTACAATTCTTCGTGTAATTCTCTCACTTCATTGCTTACTCGTAAAGAAAATTTAATTGCTATGAAACACGAAAATGTGTGTTGGAATTTGAAAAAACAAAACAAATTTTTTATAAATTTAAAGATTGGATTGCATCGAAAATCTGTTCGTGATCCCATCGAAGAATTGTTTGTCTTTTCTACGCTACCAAAACCTCTTACGGATATGTTGCTTATAATTGTTGATACTGCAAGAACTATGCCTTTTTTCGACAAATTGGATTTATCTGACAAGGTGATTAATAACTTACACAATCAGGGGTATAAAATCCCACTGATTTGTGAATGTTTCGAAACGAAACCTCTTTCGCTGTAAAAGGAACTGTTAAAAAGGACCTTTTAATTAGTTTGCAACCATCTCTGTTTTTAATGGTCCCTTTGCCAACGAAAATCTATGAATTACTTGTATTTTTATTTAAATACCAGATTTGACTAATTTTTCTCAAGTTCTAAAGTCATTAGCTCATAATGACGACAGACTTTGTAAGAGGAGTTGGAGGGATTTTTGGAGGGAGGGAGGGCTTTTTGGTCTCAGCTTGAAGAGCTCTTTCGAAAGAGGTATAATTTGCATATTCGAATTTTTCACCCCAAAATCAGCTTGGTCCCCCCTATGGTTTTTCGATATTCGAGGACAAATATTCGGGTTCGGGATTCGAATTTTCAAAATCCGAGTTCAGATTCGTAATCAGCATAATTTTTTACCCTAGAAAAATCCTTTTTCTTATTTTTAAGATTTTTTTCCGCAGGGACCACGATTCTCCGGGATTGCCATACATAACACTTAATTAGTCTATCAGGAGTATAAAATCCCATGGATATTTCGAAACGAAACTTTCTTTCACTCTTAAAATAAATGTTAGAAAGGTACAAAATAGCTAAACAACTTGTTCAGCCCTTTTAATTAGTGTCTATTTTTAACGTAAAGTATTCGCTTTCTAATCGGTCCACCAAAAATTTATGAAGTATCTACTTGTATTTCTAATTAAATACCAGATTCGACTAACTTTTCTTAGGTTCTAAATTTATTAGCTCTTGTTTCTGGGTTTTTCTCAATATGGTTCACCTGAAAAGACCGAAAAATTGACCATTCAGAGAATGGGCCGGGTTTAAAGGAAGTGCGATTATATCTTGATTCGAGGCTTTATATATTACATAATGTTTTTTATAAAGATTAGTCAAATTTCAACAATCACCATGCCGACTTTAGCACTTTATTTTGGGTATTATTGCAGTAGAATATCATCAGAAACTGTTGTTTCGCCGCAAGGAGTTCCAATTAAAAGTGTTTTCTGTTCAAATATTTATAAAGAAGACATGACGTAATTTTATTTTTTGTTATAACTTTCATTTTTGTGTTAGGATAAATAAATTTCTCAAAAAATTATTTGACGATTCCTTGGTGCCATTTAATCGAATTCAACTAAACAATGAAGAATTTGTTCTCCTTCGCGCTATAATTTTTTCTCAGTTTGCCCTAGGTGATTTAAGTCGACATGGGCAACAATTATTACTGAATGAGGCAGAAAGATATTCTGATATATTGATGAAAATATTACAGGTGTTTTAAATTGTTTAAAAAACTTGGGGGATGTTGAAGTTTCTGACATTTATGGGACTGATTGAAAAGGAATATTTATGAAAACAAAATTGAAAAAAAACTCAATTGTTAACTATTTTGAAACAAACAAATTCTTCATTGTTTAGTTGAATTCGATTGAATGGCACCAAAAAAATATTCACAGAGCCTTTGTAACAATGGGCTACAATCACCTGAACTCCTATCACATGTAAAATCGGATAATTTTTGAAGATTTTAAATCCGATTTTTTCATTTTCCGATCTCTAACCTAATAAATATACCTATGTATGTTTGTTTCAAAATAGTTAACAATTGAGTTTTTTTTTCAAAAATAATTTATCCCAATACTTATCAATAAATTTTGAATTCGGCATTTATATTATTAAATATTTTATTCCAGAATCACTATGGACCATTGGCTGGAGCTAAAAGATATGCAGAACTGCTTCATTTAATTGAATTTTGCTTCAATTGTGGAAACGATCATTGCCTTTTTCTTAATTATACTGCTTATGTAACAGATCGGGGTTATTTCCATAAATCGATGCCTGAAGCACTTCTTAATCTCTGTCTTGGTTGCAGAACTTGAAAATATATTTACATCAGTAAGGGATAGAGAAGCTTCTACCCAGAAAAAGCAAAAATATACATGATTCTAAACGATTCTAATTGCTATACACGATTCTAATTTTTACTGTTTCTCAAGGCGTAGGGCTTCAAGTCTTTTTTATCTTATTTTTATTTACATGAATTACTATTTCTTTAATATTTTCTTTAAAGTTTGATTACTTTCCATTTTAATCTAAAATTTTTTGTAGAGGAGCTTAGGTTCCTTCAGCTTTATGTCGCAGGACCACACGTCCCCGACTGATTTTGGCAAGATGACGCATAATTTAAGGTTGTTGTAAGAAATATGTGCGCGGTCATTGTCATGAAAAATATCTTTATGCTTTGTTTCCTTTTCTTAATTTAACAAATTTTTAACCGTTAAAAATACATTTTTCCAACCAAATTTGTAATTAAATTATTCTTAAAATTAAATCTTTTTTAAAAACAATTTTTAGAAAATTTCTAGGGTCGGGTTTCGGGTAACCCGGGACATCCCTGCTGCACAGGCTTCTGAATTAAATAACAGCTACTATATGATTTACATAGTAAATGCTAAAGATGTCCAAGACCGAAAATTTTTCACGGCTCTACAATTTTCCAAGACCCGTTATATCCCTTCAAAACCAGTTATATCCCTCCGATATCCATTCATATTCCCAATTTCTTCGATATCTCTTACTATAAAATTTTCATGTAAAAATCATGGGACTAGAAGTAAATTTATTTTTGGTGTTAGCTTCAAAGCAATGGTTATATGTACATAATACTTAATTATCAAAATTTTGAGTTTTATTTCTTAAGTCTTCATTCTTCTTTAGTTCCACATGTAATATTCACCTAGATCTCCTAGAATAATTTCAGTAAAAGCAGCAACAACTCCAATTGAGCGAGCTTCTTTAAAAAATTTTTATTTTATAAAGGAAAATTTTTTTTAATTTCTCACTTTTAGTAGGTATTGGATTACATTTGTGATGCGAAAAACAGGTAACCATTGTCCTTAATTTTATTTTAATGAATACTAGATTTATTACTTTTAGAATAAATGATTAATTATGTATTGCCATCAAAAGCTTGCTATTAGGTATGTCCTTGAGTTTTTTTGTTTAAAACCCCCTTCTGGATGGCATCCCATTTGTGCCACTCTCATCTTAGTCAATGTTTATAAGCTTGTACCAAAATTCGTACTATGCTCGTACTTAGGTACGAAATACGAGTATAGTACGAGCAAAAAATAGGCTGGTACGAAGAACCCTATTTAGTGAACTGTTTTTTGGTGAACTGTCCTGACACGAATTCATCCAAGTAAAAATAGAATAATTTTTAAAACAAAATTAAGCTTATACATTAGGTTATTTATTAGAAGAAAAATTTGAAAATTCATTGTCCTCTGATCAGAAAGCGAGCTCTCCTCTAAATTACTAACACATTAGTGAAGCTCTTAACCGCTTGGCAATTACTCATACATATAAGGGAAATTGAAAGAAATTATGCATATTTCTTTCGATTTTTCCTTTAATAAACAGTACGAAAGTACGAGTTGAATTTCTTGTACTTCGTATCTGGTTATTTTTGGACTCGTACCTCGTACTCGTACTAGCCTTTTTTTGCTCTAAGCGTACTCGTATTTCGACCCTAAGTACGAGTACAAGTACGAATTTTGCTACGAGCTTATAAACAGTGGTTTCGACTTATTAAGATGATAGTTAATCAGTGTCCTTTCGGTTCCAATAATGGTACCAAGAACCCGGATTTTAGCGATTTTTGGAAAGACAGAACACCTAATACAATACAGTGGTGGAAAAAAGTATGGAAGCAAGAGCTTAAAAAGTAAACTTCCTTAATTTCCTCGACGTACGAACCCTAAATTAATTTTTGTCTATTATAAATTTTAAAGTCCTATCGATTACCTCTAAAATGAGTATAAATCAGGGATGGGCCGGGTTGAGAAAAAAGTCGGGTCGGGTTTCGGGTCGGGTTTTCAAAATTTTCTTCGGATCGGGTTTCGGGTTTCGGGTCGAAAAAAAGTCCGGGTTTCGGGTCTCGGGTCGGGTTTCGGGTCGGGTCAGTTAAAAATTTGACCAAGTAGCCAAATTTTTCGGAGTGGTTGGGGGATATCAGTGATTTGCGGGATTAATAAGAGAATATATAAGAATGATATAATAAATAACAAAGATTAAATGGATTTGGATGGGTTAAGAATAATATGAGGGGATTTGGGGGTTAAGACGGATATAAAGGCATTATAAGTATCTGGAATTAAAAATAGAGTACTTTCCTGCGCCGCAAGTGAAAATTTTAAGAATTTTGGAGGTCCTTAAGTCAGATTCCTTTCATTTTCTGCGCCGCAGGCGAAAATTTTCAAAAATTCATGACTAAATTAAAATTTTAATGGTTTTTCAAGTTTCAAATATTTAGAAAAATAAATTTAAAAATTTTAATCAAAACAAAGTTTAGAACATTTTAAAAATAAATTTCTTAGCTCATATCCCGCCCTGGATTCGAACCCTCACTACAAAATTTGTAGGTGAGTAAAGTAAGACACATAACCACTCAACCACCGACCAACAAAAGGACCAATGAAAGAAATTATAAATATTTCTTTTCCTTTCCCTTAAAATAATTTTATTTCGAAGTAGGAGATAGTGATTTTTAAAAATAAAAAATCTAAAAAAACCGTCTTTAGGGGTGTGTTCGTTCCTGATACCTCCCGCAGATAACTCCACAAACCCTCTTGATCCTTAAATATAGTGCCCAAATTCCACATTTTGGAGCTCAAGAAGCCAAATTTCTTCCATTTTTAGCGACGCAGGCGAAAATTTTGCGGATTTTAGAAGGCCAAAGAGCCAAAAATCTTACTTTTATGTAATAGAATTCCATGAAAAATGTCGGGTTTCGGGTCGGGTTTTCAAAAATTTCTCGGGTCGGGTTTCGGGTTTCGGGTCGAAAAAAAGTCCGGGTTTCGGGTTTCGGGTATCGGGTTTCGGGTAACCCGGCCCATCCCTGGTATAAATAGAAACAACTTTTATCGAGTATTTATTTTTTTATAATTGACTAAAGTAAACAATGTAAATTTTGAGCGGAAAAAAGTATGGAAGCAAAAAAATTTCAAGTATTATTTCAGTATTTTGTTGGGCCACCCTTAGAAAGGATAATTGCATTAATACGACGGGGCATCGAATCAACAAGTGAAATCAAATTATCAATTGGAATTGAATTCCAGGCTATCTCAACTGCCTCCCAAAGTTCATCCTTAGTTTTGAACCTTTGACCTCTCAATTTCTGCTTGATCAGACCCCATAAATGTTCGATTGGGTTTATATCTGGACTGCATGGGGGCCACTTGAAAAGACGAACACCATTTAAACTGAACCAGCCAGGTAATCGAATTTTTCGGCCATCTGGAAGACGCCGAACAGCACCCATCATTAGTTGTGATGTGTGCTTAGGGTCGTTGTCCTGTTGATAAATCCAACCCTGGCACATCCGATCATTTGCAAACGGCAACATGTGCTCTTCCATGATGTCTCTATACATAGGCGCATCCATTATGCCATTAATCCGGACTAGTGGACCCAAAGAATCTCGCGAAAAACATCCTATAAAAATGACCTTACTCAACCTCAATTAAAAATCTGTTTACCCCATGCAAGTACACTACCAGCGCCAAATTTCATGGTTGTTTTAATGTATTTTGGATCATAACGTTTGTTTCGAGGCCTACGGACATATTCACCACCATCAGGGTTGTGGAGATTAAATTTTGTTTCATCCGAAAAAAGTACTCTACCCCAATCCCGCGCAGTCCAGTGTCTATGTTGGTTGGCAAAATTGAGACGGGCTATTTTTTGACGCTTATTTAGAGCCGGCTTTGCAGCAGGCCTCCTGCCGAATAATTTGGCACGCCGAAGTATATTTCGAGCTGTTCGCTGAGTAATTGTGATCCGATAAGCTTCCCTAGCACGATCTACGATGTCTTTTGAAGTTGCCATTGGATCTTTTTTGACTAAGCGAACCATCGACCGATCTTGCCATTCGCTAGTTTTACGTGGTCTACCAGGTTTTGCATGTCTATGAACGTGTCCTAATATGGAAAAACCTTTAGTGGGTATTTAAATGCAAAAACCTTCTTCTCGATAACGCTTATACAATTTGGATACAGTCCCGCAGCTAACGTTGAAATCTAATGCAACTGCTCTATCGGTCTTGCCTTGCTCTTTTGCTCTTATTATCAGCTTCTTAATAGGAGTTGAAAGATATTTAGTTTTGGGCATATTTTATTATATCTAAATAAAAAAGGTTTTGCTTCCATACTTTTTTCCGCTCAAAATTTACATTGTTTACTTTAGTCAATTATAAAAAAATAAATACTCGATAAAAGTTGTTTCTATTTATACTCATTTTAGAGGTAATCGATAGGACTTTAAAATTTATAATAGACAAAAATTAATTTAGGGTTCGTACGTCGAGGAAATTAAGGAAGTTTACTTTTTAAGCTCTTGCTTCCATACTTTTTTCCACCACTGTATATATTATTAGTTTATCAAATTATTTTTTTACTTAAGGCATTCACACATTCCAGCTTTACAACTATATTTATCAGCAGTAGAGCATTCTGAATACATCATCCCACAATTTGTTTCGTTTCTAAATACTTTTGCAGGGGATGTAGAATTGCATGTTTGTAAAATTACTAACGAAATTTTACAAATTCTGAGGTCTTGAACACATCTTTTGTTAATTAATTAAATTTATTCTATAGCCAATTATTTACTTGCATTGATAAAAGTCAAAATTTTCATCTAATTCAAATGTTCGGTCACATTCTTCCAAAGTTGGAGAATCATACAAGTAATAATAAATAACAAATAAAAGCAGCAGCAAATAACATTTTCTACTAAAATTTTATTTTTGTTAAATTAAATTAACGTGATAAATTAAACGTATTTATACAAAAATATGAAATTATGCCTTATTTACACCTTCCTGAAAAATTTTTTTGGTCCGCTGAATCAACTTTGTTGTCATTATTTGTTAATGGGGTTGTTGCTGTTATAATAGAATTATTTGTTTGTTGTTGCTCATCAATTTCAGGAGGTTCATTAATGGGATTTTGGGGAGCAGATTCAATTTCATCTTCCATTTCACTTTCTATTTCTAGTACGATTTCAGGGTGGTCCATTTCAAGTACAATTTCACGTACAATTTCACGTACAATTTCACGTTCCCTTTCAAGTACAATTTCAGGTTCTATTTCAAGTACTATTTCAGGGTCCATTTCAGGGTCGATTTTGGGTTCCATTTTTAATTTGAATTTATTCAAAAACTGAATTTATTAAAAAAATTTATTTTTGGGTTTTAGAAAAATTTTTGTATGTAATAATTAGGGTTGGACAAAACATGCAAATGCATGTTTTGTGTGCGGATATGCCTTGATGTGGGAAGCCCAAAAATGGTGTTTTTACATTGGTCCGAGCACTTTAGGACCCGGTTCTTAATGCATATATTTGCATATTTCGGCCCTCACGTGCATATTTGCATATTGGTCCATATTTCGGCATTTTTTGATAAATTTTAGTAAAAATTAGGCAAATTTTTAAAAATTTTGGATTTTTTTCGGCAAAAAATTTTTTTGTAAAAATTTTTTGAAAAAAATTTTTTGAAAATTTTTTTTGAAAAATTTTTTCCTAAAATTTTTCAAGAAATTTAAAATTTTTTTTTTCAAAATCAATAAAATCTCTATGAAGTGCTTTTAAATTGCAATTTTAAAGGCTAAATTTGTGTTTTTTACTTAAAATAGTGGATTTTTAAAGAACATTTTCACTATTTTTTGCGCATATTTGGTGCATATTTCAGGAAATTTTTCATATTTTGGTGCATATTTTGGGCTTTTTCTGTGCATATATATGCGCATATTTGGCGATTTTGTGTGCATATTTTGTCCAACCCTAGTAATAATTAATGGTTGATTATTTTTTGTGGACTTGAATATTAAATAATAAAGAAGTGAGACAAAAAACTACATGATTCGATTTTAGTGATTAGAAAAAAACTCCAATCGATTTGACAAAAAAATCTCAATAATCTCTATCATTTATCATCTTGTAACAAACCTAATATAATTTGTTTACTATAATATTTTAAATTTTCAAAAAATTTTTTAACAATAATTAGACATTAAATAATTCTATTTATCAAACAGGTAAAATTTTCATTATTTAAAAAGTTAAATATACAAAGGAAATTAATTAAAAGTACATTATTGTTGCGTAACATAAAACAAGTTGTTTAGTTTTAAATTCTGAAGAATAATATTTTTGAAATTAAAAGAGGCCGGAAGTAATCATTCTTCTTTAGTTCCACATAGAATATTCACCTAGATCTCTTAGAATAATTTCAGTAAAAACAGCAACAACTCCAATTGAGCGAGCTTCTTTAAAAAAATTTTATTTTATGAAGGAAAAATTTTTCAATTTCTCACTTTTAGAAGTAGATATTGGAGTACATGTATGATGCGAAAAACAGGTAACCATTGTCCTTAATTTTATTTTAACGCTTATTAGATTCAATTTGACATCACTATTTTCAATTTACATCACTAGATATGCTTGCCGGAATTTTTGTAGATTTTTCGATCAGTTCCTAATGCCGAAACTTAAGTGGTGCTTATAATTATCTGAGTCGTACTTTTAGGAAATACCAGTTATATCCCCTACTACCCATAAATAATTTATGTATATACATGATTGTTTTTTCCATTCGAATATGAATTAGAAATTCGTAAAAATATTTAAAATTATGATATTTTAACTTTACTCATGTTTTCTACATAAAACTAAGGGGTGCTTATCATTTTCTGACAGTGTATCAGACCTTAATGACACTTTTTTCCTTCTCAAAAGAAAAGAAGGAAAATCATTGCAATATTTATCATTGCAAAATTGTAATTTAATTGGAGGGGCCATTCAATTAGAATAAATACGGTATATTATAGTAGTTTTTCTTATAAATTTTTTACTTAAGGCATTCACACATTCCAGCTTTACAACTATATTTATCAGCAGTAGAGCATTCAGAATACATCATCCCACAATTTGTTTCGTTTCTAAATACCATTGCAGGAGATGTAGACTTACATTTTTGCAAAATTACTAACGAGATTTTACAAATTCTGAGGTCTCGAAAACACCTTTTATTAATTAATTAATTTAATTTATTCTATAGCCAATCATTTACTTGCATTGATAAAAGTCAAAATTTTCATCTAATTCAAATGTTCGGTTACATTGTTCCAAAGTTGGATAATCCTTCATATAATAATGATAAATGAACAAATGTATTATTAAGCATATTATTAAGCAAAACATTAGTAGGCAAAACATGCAGGCGTTTGCAATTAGATCAGACATAGTTGTAGTCTTTGCTGTCATTATTTGTTAATGGGGTTGTTGCTGTTATAATAGAATTAGTTATTTGTTTGTTGTTGCTTCTTAGTTTCTTGCTCAATTTCGTAAGATTGATTAAGAGGAGTTTGCGGGGTAGGTTCAATTTCAGGGTCAATTTTGGTTCCTTTTTAATTTGAATTTATTCAAAATGTGAATTTATTAAGAAATTTAGTCTTGGATTTTAGGAAAATTTTTGTATGTAATAATTATGGTTGATTATTTTTTAAAGTGGACTTGAATATTTAAGAATAATAAAAAATTGAAACAGTAAACTGATTCGATTTTAAGTTATTGGAAAACTTCAATCGATTTGACAAAAAATTCCGAATCACTATCTCGAAATGTCAAAAATAAAGAAAAAAAATCTCAATAATCTCTCTCATTTATCATTTTGTAACAAATTAAATAATTAATGAATTTGTTTATTATAATATTTTAAAATTTCAATTAAAAATAATTTGACAAAAAATAATTCTATTTATCAAACAAAGGAAATTAATTAAAAGTACATTACATAGTATGTATTGTTGCGTAACATAAAACAAGTTGTTTAATTTTAAATTCTTACTAATTCTGAAAAATAATATTTTTGAAATTAAAAGAGGCCGGAAGTAGAATCGAAAAATCAAATAATTATGAAAGTTATGGAGATTAACATTTTGAAAGAGAACTCCATAGTTTCTTTATTCTACTTGATTTGTCTCATGACTAATCCTCTTTCTTCAATTCAATCGGATTTTCGCCAAAATTTCCTTCAATAAATCCTCTAAACCCAGCAATAACTCCAATTGAACGAGCTTCTTAAAAGAATATCTTAAAGAAATATTTTAAATTCTTACTTTTATTTTTTAATACTGTAGACATTGATGTACATTTACGTTGAGAAAAACAGTCAATCATTGTTCTTAATTTTATTATATTTAAGTTGTGGTTTCTACTGGGTATTCTTGACTTAACTTTCCCAATACCTATACAAGACCATGAATTTTGTTAGTAAATTCTATAGAAATCAAAACTAAACAATCTTTTATTTTTTCATATATTAAGTCGGGCCTCACTTTTACATATACAATTGAGGCTTGAATTTCTTGTCCATCCTATGGGCAAGAAATTTTTAAAAATTGATTTGTGTTTTAATTATTTCCGGATCTGGCATTTATTAGTTAATTGAGGAATAATCAAATAATTTTTTAAAGCTTGGAATTTGTTAAGAAAAATCTGCGGAAATATAGCCCTACCCCTCTCAGATCTTTAAAATTTTCTTACTTGAGGCATTCACACATTCCCTCTTTACAGCTATTCTTATCAGCGTTAGAGCATTCAGAATACATCATTTCACAATTTGTTTCGTTTCTAAATACATTTCTTCGTGTTCGGGACCTACGCCCAGTAGGTCTGGGACCATTCCTTACCCTATCCCTCGAAATTTCGGAAAGTTATAATTAGAGACCGGATTTTTATGCACTAAAAAATGCAAAATATGGACTATAATATGCATAAAAAATTGCCAAAATATGCACAAAAATATGCAAGTAAACCTAAATATGCACGCATATATTCATGAAAAATACCATTTATACCTAAAAACTTTTACATATTTTTAGTCAAAATGATTTAAAAACCCATTTTTTTATTAAGGTTTCTCCTATTTTAAATGTATAGTTCACAAATTGAGCATTTTTACGCTGTTGGGCATTTTGAGTTGTGGCATTTTGGTGGTGGAACATTTTGGGGTGCGACGTTTTGGGGCTGAGACATTATGGGTGTGGGCCATTTTCTAGCGAAACCAATAAACACAAAAAATTTTTTTACAAAATTTGTAATTTTTACAAAGTTTTTCCTAAATTTTTACTAAATTTTCACTTTTTTGGTAGGATTTTGGGCAATTTTCGCAATATTTTCGCCAAAAACCTCAAAATATGCAGTAAAATATGCATTATGCAACAAAGTTCGGAATATGCAAAAATATGCATTATATGCAAATAGAAACCCCCTCTAAAGTTTTCAAAACATGCGGAAACAGTGTTTTTTGTGCATAACACATCATGAAAAGTTTGCAAAAAATATGCATTTCATAAAAATCCGGTCTCTAGTTACACAGCAGACTAGCGCAGGCAAAAGAGGGAAATAGCGGAATTTAAATGTTGGCTAAGTGGATGAGCGCTGACTACAAAATCGTCTAAAAAGGGGTCTCGGGTTCGAACCTTTTCATGGTTAATTAATATTTTCTTATTAAATAAGTTAAACAAAACACGAAATAAACATTTTAAATAATATTTTAAGTGTGTAAAATTTTTTTAAACTTTTAAAAATAAAAACGGGTAAAAATTTTAAAAAATCGGCTGTTATTTTTAATGTAATTTTTCAAATTTGGATTGATTTGGACAAATGGTGTCATTCGAAAGAGCTCTGAAAACTGAGTCGAACTAGGGGTGGAAGAAGTTGATCCGATTTTCCGGGCTGAGTTACAGACTCCTGAAGTTGAAAACCACATTGAGGGCCCCTAGCCGATTTTGGGGTCAAAAAATCGAAAATGCAAATTATAGCTCATTCGAAGGTGCTACTCGAGCTGAGTCGAACCCCACAAAAATCAACGCGATCAGACTTCATAGGGCCGAGTTACAGACCCCGAAACAAAAAATTTTGGGTCAAAAATTAAATTATGCAAATTATAGCTCATTCGAAAGAGTTCGTCGAGGTGAGTCGAATGATACCAAAATCTTCGTGATTAGTTTCCGACTTACCCCAATATAGCACAAATTGCCTGTAACTTTTTTCAGAATCTTCGAATCGAGCTGATTTTGGTGTCATTCGAATCAGGGCTGATCGAAATAAAAATATTTTTTGTTTCGAATCGAAACGAAATAAAAAAATTCCTATTTCGTTTCGGAGCGAAACGAAACGAAATGAGCTTGTTTCGGACTAAACGAAACGAAATAAACGAAATAAAATAAAAATTAAAAAATACTTATTTTTCAGTTCATAAAGGCTTTTAATCGATATTTAAATCATAGATAAGCACCCCAAGAGCTAGATGCGTACAAAAGCATAACAGAAACAAGAGTGGACTTTACAAATCTGCCGATATCCACCTTAATCCCCTTAAATCGACATAGAATACCACAATATTACCTTAATCTTGCCAAATCTCCCTCGATATCACTAATCCCATGAGATCTCTTTTAATAATAATTTTAGTCGGTAATAATAATTTTAGTCGGCAGCAGAGGTGGGGCGGAATTCTGATTTCCGACATTTTTTTCTTTCCGATTTCCGAGTTCCGAAATTTTGGAAAAATTTCGGATTTGAGATAATTTTCAAAGCATATTTCTGACTGAAGATTTTTCCATAATTTTTTAGAAATATTGCCCATTGGCCTTCCAAAATCTTAGCGGGATCCCGCGGGATTTCGGGATTTTCACATAAAAAATTTTTACGTAATAGATATCAGGGAGATCAGAGGATTTGAAGGGATTAAGGGATTTAGAAGGATATCTGGGATATTTTTAGTAATATCTGTGTTATAAGAGGATTTTGAGTGATATCGGAGGATTTAAGGAGATTGGAGGATAAACTGGAGGATTAAGAGACCAAAAAATTCACTTTTTCAGCGCCGCAGGCGAAAATTTTGAGAATTTTGAAAGACCAATTCACCTGATTTCTTCATTTTTAGCGCCGCAGGCGAAAATTTTTTAATTTTAGGCTGCTCATAAGACAGAAATCACTAAAAAAATAGTGATTATTTCCATAAATTCCCGTCATTAGGGGTGCATTTTCTCACTTTTTTTTTGTTTCGTTTCGTCCGGAATTTTGGCTATTTCGTTTCGAAACGAAACGAAATAAATTTTTTTCTGTTTCGTTCCGAAACGAAACGAAATGGAAAAAAGGGCACGAAAGAGCGAAACGAAACGAAACGAAACGAAATTTCGATCAGCCCTGATTCGAATCAGCTTGTCGAGACGAATCGAATGAGCCATTAATTAAAAATAAATCTGAACTGCTTTTGTCAATTGTTGATTTTTCCATCAGTAAAATCCTTTCAATTTTTTAAAAATGGGTAAAATTTTTCAATTTTTTTCCAAATGTTTATTAAAGAGTTTTGCAAAGAATAGCGGGAGCGATTTTAAATCTCACATTTTATAGTCGAGATATAAGTCTTCAAATCCAATAACCTAGGATTTGTAAAAATTAAATAAAAAGAGTATAGGAAAATAAGAGAAAATTATAGAAAAAAAGACAAATTTAGAGCCTTTTTAATTGGTTGGCGTTCTGCCCCAATAAATGACATTTCGTTCGCTATTACCCTTGCTAGTCTGCTGTGTAGTTATAATTGTTTTTTCGAAATTTTTAAAAATTGGCTATAACTTACTGAAATTTCGAGGGATAGGGCAAGTGATGGTCCCAGACCCAGTAGGCTTAGGTCCCGAACATGAAGAAATGCTTTGGAACCATACCCCAACCTTGCAATACCAAGAAAAATCCAATTATTTTTTGATTGGACTCATAAAGTTTCATTGGACGCATAAAAGTCCATTGGACGCATAAACTAGACCAGAAAATTTGTTGATGATTTGATTTTGGGGTTTGATTTGGGGCTATTTGATTTGGGGCTAATTCGAGGTTTTTTTTCAGCGCCGCAGGCGAAAATTTTGAGAATTTTAAAAGGCCATGTAGCCAAATTTCTTCATTTTTTGGTGCCGATTTCACTTATATTTTAAATAATTTATCTGAATGTCACGTATTTTATTGCGTATAAATTGAATTGAATTAAAATAAAGATTTTCCAGCTAAACAAAAATTTTCCATAGTTTCTTTATTCTACTTGATTCGTCTCATGCCTAATCATCTTCTTTCAATTCGGTAGGATTTTCACCAAAATTTCCTTCAATAAACCCACTAAAAGCAGCAAAAACTCCAAATGAACGAGATTCTTTAATTTTTTTTGTTTTTAAAAAGAAAATTTAATTTCTCACTTTTATCTGTATT